TGTCTCATTAAGTAGAGAATACAATAAAGAGAAAATTATTTTTTAAAGAACCAAATGAAAATTCTGGAGTTAAAAGTACAATAACTGGCCAGGCACAGTGGCTCGTGCCTATAAATCCAGCACTTTGGGAGGCTGAAAGGAGAGGACCACTTGAGCTCAGGAGTTCGAGACCAGCATGGGCAACATGGTGAAACACTGTCTCTACAAAAAAATACAAAAATGAGCCAGGGATGATGGCATATGCCTCTGGTCCCAGCTACTTGGGAGGCTGAGGTGGGAAGATTGCTTGAGCCCAGAAGGTCAAGGCTGCAGTGAGCCATAACTGTGCCACTGTACTCTTGTCTGGGCAACAGAGCAAAAACCTGTCTCCAAAAAAAAAAAAAAAAAAAACTGCAATAACAAAAATGGGGTTTACTATGTTGCCCAGGTTGGTCTTGAACTGTTAAACTCAAATAACGCTCCTGCCTTGGCCTTGGCCTTCCAAAGTGCTAGGATTAAAGGTGTGAGCCACCAAACCTGGACCTAAAATGGATAATTTACTAGAGAGATCAACAAGATATCCAAGCTGGCATAAGAAAGAATCAGCAAACATGAATAGATTAATAATGACTATGCAATCTGAAAGAGGGAGAAGAGAAAGCAGAAAAAATGAACAGAGCCTTAAAGGAATATGAGAAACATTAAGTGTACCGACATATGCATAATGAGTACCAGGAGAAGACAGAAAGGAAAAGGAAAATCATCTGAAGAATTTATGGCTGAAAGTATTCCAAATTTGATGGAAAACATTAACCTACATATCCAAGACACTCAGTGAACTCCAAGCAGGATACATACAAAGACATCCACACAAAGACGCATCACAGTCAAAACATTAAAGCTAAAGAAAAAAAATCTTGAAAACAGCAAGTCATCGTGTATAAGAGAAACCTGATAAGATTAACAGCTAACTTCTCAACAGAAAAAAGGCGGCCAGAAAATGCAGTGAGATGACATATCAAACCACTCAAAGAAAAAAAAAATCTGTCAACTAAACATTGTTTTTTCTTTTGAAACAGGGTCTGGCTCTGTCACTCTGGCTGGAGTGCAGTGGCACAATCGCAGCTCACTGCAACGTCTACCTCCTGGGCTGAAGCCATCCCCCCACCTCAGCCTCCCAGGTAGCTGAGACTATAGGTGCATACCACCACACCTGGCTAATTTTTGTATTTTTCTGGTAAAGACGGAGTTTCACCGTGTTGCTGGTCTCAAACTCCTAGGCTCAAGCCATCTACCTGCCTCAGCCTCCCAAAGTGCTGGGATTACAGGCATGAGTCACCATGCCCAGCCTCAACTAAGAATCTTATATAAAGGAGAGTTATTTTTCAAAAATAAAAATATAACAGAAACATTCCAAGATAAACAAAACCTGAGAAAATTTTGCTAGCAAATCCATTTTATAAGAAATACTAAGGTCGGGCGCGGTGGCTCACGCCTGTAAACCCAGCACTTTGGGAGGCCGAGGCGGGCGGATCACGAGGTCAGGAGATGGAGACCATCCTGGCTAACACGGTGAAACCCCGTCTCTACTAAAAATACAAAAGTGGTGCGCCCCTGTAGTCCCAGCTATTCGGAGGCTGAGGCAGGAGAATGGCATGAATCCGGGAGGCGGAGCTTGCAGTCAGCTGAGATCGTGCCACTGCACTCCAGCCTGGGCGACAAAGCGAGACTCCGTCTCAAAAAAAAAAAGAAAGAAAGAAAGAAAGAAATACTAGCCAGGTGCAGCAGCTCACGCCTGTAATCCCAGAATTTTGGGAGGCTGGGTGGGCAGGGGGGTGGAGGCTGGATCACTCGAGGTCAGGAGTTCGAGACTAGCCTGGTCAACATGGCAAAACCCTGTCTCTACAAAAATACAAAAAAAAAATTAGCCAGAAGTGGTGGCGCATTCCTGTAATCCCAGGGACTCAGGAGACTGAGGCATGAGAATTGCTTGAACCTGGGAGGCAGAGGTTGCAGTGAGCAGAGACTGCACCACTGCACCACTGTACTCCAGCCTGGGCAACAGAATGACTCTGTCTCCAGAAAAAAAAGAAGAAGAAACAAAGAAATACTAAAGAAAGCTCTTCAGCTTGAAAGAAACTCACCCAAAACCATATTTCAATTCCAAACAAAAAAATCAAAGAGCGTCAACAAAGGAAATTATGTGGGTACATATAAAAACAGTATCATTACATATTTCTCTTTTCTTCTGAGTGATTTAAAAGGCAACTTATAAAACAATATGCATATAATTGTACTGTATTGGGTTTGTTTGTTTGTTTGAGACACGGTCTCACTCTGTTGCCCAGGCTGGAGTGCAGTGGCACAATCTCAGCTCACTGCAACCTCTACCTCCCAGGTTCAAGTGATTCTCGTGCCTCAGCCTCCTGAGTAGCTAGAATTATAGATATGCACCACCACACCCAGCTCATTTTTATATTTTTAGTAAAGATGGGGCTTCACCATGATGGCCAGGCTGGTCTTGAACTCCTGACCTCAAGTGGTCCACCCGCCTCAGCCTACCAAAGTGCTGAGATTACAGGCATGAGCCACCACGCCCTGCCAATATGCATATAATTGTATCGTTGGGCCCATAACATATAAAAATCACAATATATTTGACAGTATCAGCCCACAGGAGGCAGGTGAAAGCAAAGCTGTACCGAACTAAGGAAATGACAAGAGATGGTGTCCCAAATCCATAGAAATAAATGAAGAAAAAAACACAATCATAAATAAGAACGTTAATGAAGCAAACTCTGTAAATGTATATTTGCTCTCCTTTCTTCTCTCAGCTTCTCTAAAAACATTGAATTACATAAAATACTAAGTATAACAACGTACTATTAGGTTTGCAACACATAATGATGTCATAAGTACAACAATGGCACAAAAAAAGGAATCAAAATAGAGTTATTTAAGAATACTTCTTTATCTCACTGCAATTAAGTTAGTATAAATTTTCAGCTGTACCTGATAATCCCTTGAGTAACCATAAAAAAAAAAAGAGAGAGCAAAAAATATAGAGAAAAACGTACAAAATTAAAATGTCATACAATTTTGTGCTGCATAGTCACATTTTGGTCAATGACAAACTGCATATATGACAGTAGTCCCATTAGATTATAATGGAGCTGAAAAATTAATATTGCCTAGTGACATCATAGTCATCAAAACGTCTAACATGTTGCATTACCTTTTCTATGTTTAGAAATGTCTAGATACACAAATACTTGCCATTGTATTACAACTGCCTACAGTATTCAGTAGAGTAACATGCCAAACAAGTTTGTAGCCTAGCAGCAGTTAGGTTATATCATATATCCTAGGTGTGCAGCAGGCCATACCATCTAAATTTGTGTGAGTACACTCTGTAATATTCACACAAGAACAAAATTGCCTAAAGATGCAATTCTCAGAATGTATCACTGTCCTTAAGCGATAATGACTATACTAAAAAATAATCCCTTCATTCAAAAAAGA